GGAGATAAACCCAATAAGTAAGGAAGTTATTACTTATTTGTTTATCTGATAACGAAAATTCAAATAACAAATGTTCACTGAGGTATTTCTGGATAAACCTTTAATATCTTAATTTTACTGATACTATTTCCTGAATAAATAAATGTAAACAAAAAAGTCGGCATATTTAATACAGTTAGATAACAATAAATGTTGAATTGCTAAATTTTTAGTTTATGCAAAATAGATTCATTACATATTCGTAACAAATTATTTAATATCTAATCTCAAATAGTGGAATAAACTATTTGAAAAGAGAAAATAGACAAAGTGTTTATTAAGAACCCGATTTTAATCGGCGTTTTTTTACTTAGCTTTTGTAGAACAAATCATTCATGGATTAGATATCTAATGATTTCATCTGATCTAACGATGATATAGAAAATTCAAAAGTCATTTACAGCATATTCTCAACGGTATGTTACTTGAAGCTTCCAAGTTTAATTATTTAATCTATTCAATATTTAGTTTGGGAGAGAAGGGAGGGATAGCAATTTTACCTTTATAACACCATGTTATCTCTTAATCTCATGTTTTCTATTCTATTCCTTTTCTGCTATTAACCTGTTAATTTAATTTTAGATAATGTTTTCTACCCCGTATTTTCCTTTTCTGTTCATAAAAAATATGGTTCCGGATCAGAGATTTGGCACACGATAATAGTTAGGGAGGCACTTGCCAGGCACGCCGCTAGAGAGCGTCACATGTGTCCCGAACTCGGGGAGCAGATTAATAACGCTTGGAGAAGACTTGAATGGGTAATGAAGAAAAACTTTAATATTAGTTTAACATACTAGCAAATGTACAACGTTTCAACAAGGTTTTGTCATCGTCAGGTCTCCAAGTATTATTATTCTCAAAGTGGGTTCCTCATCATCGAATTTGAGTCAGGGAGGAGATGATGTTGTCACAGTTACATAATTTATTATCAGATGGCGCGTTGTTAGGGACGCGTTGCTAGACCGACATGACGTCATTGAACCACAGAGGGTTGAAATTTTAGTTTGATACCAGACAGATAGCTATGACGTAATAGTTATACGAAAATAAAGACCACCATGACGTCATATACAATGACGAATAAGATACGAGTCTCAATATGGTTATACTTAATCGGTTTAAATCACAAATTTATTAGTTAATTAAATTTCCTGATCACTTATATATAAATCATCCTAGAAATGACGATATCATGCATTAATTAAAATTTTCACTAGTTTGACTTTATGTTTCACAAAATATTTCATTTTACACATGATACTATAAAGTTTTATCTTACACGAGTTTTATAAGGGTGGCCACTACACTTCCAGATATGATCAATGTCTAGATGGACTTACCATTATTTAACGATTGTCTGTAGAATTTTAACAAGTGTGCTGTTATCCACTATTTGAATGAGATCATAACTTACATTTTGCTACATAATAAATGTTATCAATACTATAGAATACTAACACATACTTTTTATTTTCATAAATCTTTGAGAGCTGCCCCCTCCCAAAGTCCAACACATGCATGGCGTTCTCTAGCGGAGTGCCTCCATAACTACTCACGATTTATCCCTAGCAATGTTCAAGAGTCTGCTTTGTGAGAGTATGCATGAACCACATGTACATGTTACTTATAGCTGCAGAGAAACCTGGTTATTGAGAAACATTTTCTAGTTGTTTATAGCATCATCTCTATGTAATATATCACATATCTAATGTAAGTATTCATATATATCGATAAGTTGTTTCATATTTCTGTCTATTTACTTGTCTTCTAGAATGGTGCCCTCGAAAAACAGCTTGTATCTTTACTGCTGCCTGGTTCTTGGCTATGTCGTCCGGTTCTTGCGTTACCTAGATTATTGAAAATGTTCCATGAAATATGAAAAATAAGATAAAACAATCCCTTCTTTTGGTTTTATCATATGTATAGGCTTTATTTTTAATACTATAAGCAGCATAATAGTCATGATATTAATCATTTTGATTTCTTAGCCACAATAAAAACCTATGTCTGGATGACATAACATTGATAAGTAAATAAGATATCACATCTTACGTGTCAATATTAGATGAAACACTCTATAAATGGTCACATATTGTTTTTTATTTAATTTTAAGTGTCAATACTCTGTTAGTTTTGTTAAGTTAAGACTTGGAATCAAGTGTTAATATCGAATAAGAACCAGTGTATCCTAACCCATTTATTTCCACTTTTAGCAATATAATTCACTGGTACACCAACTGCAGCAGCCCCTGCTATGGCTAATGGTAATGCAGAACCATCTAATAACAGGTTCCTTTCACGGTCGTAGATATCATTCTCTGACACAGCTTCCTCTTCTTTGCTATTCATTCCGCCAAGGACATAAACACAGGACCCTGAAAGATTGAAGAATAGAGCCAATGATCAATTATAACTTTCATGTCATTTACATAGCTTCCTAGTTCTAAACAAAAAAGCGAAAAAAGAAAATTTGCTATTCTTGATAAGAGTTGAAACTCATCATCTGTAAATTCTATTCTTCAGCTAAAACAAGTTTTATAAGAAAAGTGAAATCGTTTTATTAGTTTTCCTTATAATAAAAAGTAGAATTAGATAGTTTGTAACAAAGGTACAGAAACAGTTCTGATGTACTTTTAACAATGTATTTCTATTGCTTAGTTGTTTTTTAACATAGTCTAGAATTAATCCGAAACACTACCTGCTTTAGCTATTGCCACAGCGTGTTTAGGTGTTGACAATGACAACTTAGTTTCCCAGAGACACTTTCTTGGACTGTAAACGTCTACGGTATCAATACTGTCTAGCTGCCCGGTTTCTTGAATGCCTGATAAACCTCCCCAGATCCATACTTCTCTCTTCACAGTAATAGCGGCACAGAAAGCACGGCGCTGTAGTAATGGCGGTTTTTTGTACCAGCTATGATAGATGAATCATTAGATGTAAATTAAGTGTATATGAAATAACACTGACGCTCAATGCTCTGGCAAATAAAGATAATGTCAGATCTTAAATCAAAAATAGATACTTAATCAACATCGAAGTAAAACAATAAAACTATGTTTTAAGACGAAATACAAATAAAGTAAATACACATTCACCATATTCTTTACGTTTTCAATAGTTTCTAACAAATGTGTTTAAACTCTTATGTCATAGATTTAGACTAGTAAACAATTTATGAATCTACCTATCTTCTACAGGATCATAACACAATACATGATCAACAACTATCGACGAATTCTTATTCGTTTTTGAATTAGTTACTCCTCCAGCAACATAAACAAGACCTTCTAGGTAGGTAGCACCACAACCCATCAGCGGTTCAGGCATTGGCTTGACCATTGTCCACTGATCAAAATCGGGTTCGTATACCTCTACACTGGAGAGTATTCTGAAATGTAGACATAAATTATGATTTACAGGTCTGAAGATGGAGAAAAATTGTCAAATTTTCCGAAGTTAGCGAACTAGTACTAAAAGCTCACAGCTGGCATTACACTAAAAGAACATAACGGGAAAAGGTATGTTTTCGGATTTGAACATAAAAAGATTTTATTTCTATAATTTAGTAAACATACCTGAGCTTTACTTGTTTAACTTCATCAGTGTTTACTTTTGCACTCAACACTCTAATACTACTTTATTATAGCTACTTGTGAAGTTACATCTCAAATCCATGAAATATTCTAAAAGTTTTATTTGTTTTATCTCACAAGCACGGTATAGCAAATGGCTAATAATCTGATGAAATAAATCATTAACTATTAATACAGCAATATCAACTAAGTCGTAACTATGTGCTGATGTGATATTTGTTTTAACCAATAAATGCTATTTTATTGTAGTACAGACGTACTCTCCACTGTCATTTTTTCCACCAACAATAAAGATCCTTCCCTCTACTACAACGGCTGCATGACATGCTCTTGCATGAAACATATCTGCCTTTCTTCTCCATCTTTTAGAACGTATCGTCAATTGGAAAACAGTTGCTGTTGGTTGCATTTCTCCATTTACAATCTCAAGAGGATTGTAACCACCTGCATGTATTATTATAAAACTACATATCAGTTACAGCCGGATCATTGTTTTGACATTAAAATCTGTTCTCGAACAAGAGTATATTAAAAAGTCAAATTACACGAGACACGAAAGTATAAATATATTTATATAAGAAATATATACATATATAAAATTTACAATGACGCTACTGAACATGGTAAAAACTACAGGAGGTTTACCAAACAAAATATAGGAGGTTTTTAAATGTGGTTTTATTTGAATAACTGATTATTTTGTCCATTTGTGTACAATTTCTCATTTTTTAGTTTCTGCTAACTCATTGCCAACTAGTCCCCGAGACTCTTATTTAGCCCATATTTAAAAATATAGAATTCTGGGCATGTTCAGATTAATGTCACCAAAACAGTAACGTTTAAGTTTAGTGGATACAAGATACACACCTACCTGTTTCTCTTCTTGCTGTTCTCTATTTTAAATACACAAAAACTACGTGACTAAGAAAACATGCATAAAGAATACAAGTGAAAAATATAAACTAATCATAATTAACACTACTGATTCTTCTTTTATGACATTTAAGTTCACAAACATAACGTGACTGAGAAAAAATGCATATGGATTTAGCTTTTCATACAAATTGCACAAAGGCCTATCTGTAATTTTGAGCTAATAAACAAGAGAGAAGATAGATAGTCAACAGCACCCACTGGCAATGAATGAAGAGTGGGATTTGACCATTACTCATATATAACATAAACACTGCCTTAAAGTGCAGAGCAAGTTCTTTTGAGCAATGCATCACGAACCATGAACCCCTAAATTTACAGTTCGAACACACTAACCACTAGGCCATACCCAGCCAAAAATACATATGGAATATATACAAAAATACAAAATAAGAAACATTATTATTTTTTGTTCTTTTTTTTTCAAACAGACTAGTCTAATAACTGAAATGACTTTTACTTCCATTAAGAGCAGACTGAGAGCGGCTCAGTAATTAGCATTCCAGACTGTATAGCAAGGTTCTGTGATTTCAGTCCCACTACCGTCAAATAAAAAAAAAGGTATATTTTATTCTCACAGCAACAGCTTCATTGCCACTTGGAAATATGTCTTAGTGGAGGTGCCAGTACGTTTTCTATTCTGAACACTGAATGTAAGTAATGGAGTTCTTGGAAAACAGGACTTTCAAATGTAAGTATTTTCTGAATTTCATAGAAAACAATCTTGGTAAAATGAGCACACACAGAAGAAATTAATATTACTCTCTTGAAACTGATTTATGATGTAACTCTTTATCAGCTTTGTTACAGAAGATTCCTCAGCAACACCAATTTCTTTTGGCTTAAGACATTAAACACAAGTTCTGAATACGAAAAAGTTGAATTTTGGTTCAAAAGTTATATCTTTTTTTTTAAAAATAGTCAAGAATCAGGCTTTCAGCTTTTCAAGCAGACACTTGCACACTGAAATCAGAAATAGAAATCATCAGTGAATGTGAGTAGTTACTCCATCTGTTTGCCACCAAAATAATGCCTCCTCAGTGGGATTACACAACTGTTACATAATAGACAAAGGGTATCGCCTGAGGGTTGAATAACTAATGCATAATATGCAAATTATGCCGACACCCAAGGGGTACATAACTGTTATGTCACAGGTGCCAGAGGGCGATGATATCCACGAAGTGGCACTAGAAAGCACGTTACTAAGAGTCATAGTTCCATGAAGTGGCACCAGAGGGAGCGGCTACCTAAAGAGAGGGATGATATCATAGATTGATACCAGATGATCTGTTATCATAGGGGGCGGTATTACCAAGGTTCTATAGGCGAATGGTGTTGATAAGGTTCTATAAGCAGATGGTCTTACTAAGGCTCTACAGGCTGATCTTCTTACTAGGCATATTGTGTGTGTTTTAATAGGGCAGTTGGTGTTTCTATAGACAGATATTGTTACTATACTTCCATAGGATTGCATACAGATTTTAAATTGTCTCAACTTATTTTATAGATTTATTTCTATATTTAACTATATTACATGTGTTCTACAAAGGCAGATGATGTTTCTATAAATGGACAGATTTACGATACTTCTGTAAAGCTGCATACTGATTTCAAGTCGTCTCAACACATGTTTATAGTTTTCATTTATATAGTACATGTGTTTTACAATGGTAGATGATGTTAATAAATGGCTTATGTTACTAAGATTCTGTAACCAGATAGTAAATTGTGTTAATAGGGTTAGTACTGCTATGACAGATGATGTTTCTATAAAATAATAGTTCAGTAGGATGATGAGCTCATTGTAGGGTGTTTCAATATGTGGTTATATGATCAACATTTTAGTCTAGATTTAATTATATGTCCTAAAAAATTCGATTTTCATTTGCTACTGTTTATGTTATAAAAAACATTAATTTATATCATTGTAACTTCCCCCGGTAGTCCAATGATAACACTGAAGCCTAGGATTCAATCCCTGTGGTGGCACAGCGCAAATAGCCCATTGTGCAGACTTGCGCTTAGTAACAAAACAAACAAAATCCTTGCAACTTACCGAAAACATAGATACGTCCGTGTATATACACTATAGCATGGTAATTACGAGGTTCTGTCATTGTACCAAAATATGCCCACGTATCTTTCATTGTTTGATAGCAGAACATTGCTCCACCTTTAAGAACGAAATGTGCAAAAGCTATGTTACTGTTATAATTCAACTGTTTATATAAAACTTTCCTAATAAGAAGGCGTATGGTTAATCTTTCTTGGCAAACTATAGAATTGCTTATTAGTACGAAACTCAATACCTTTCTGCTTAAAAGTGTCCAAAATACTAACCTGCTTGTAATCACACGAAATATCTTCCAAAGGACAGAATAAAGTCTCAAATAAAATTGTAACATAACTTATTAGTAATTAAGAATTGTAATGATACAAAATAATTTTCTTTATTTCAGATACTATATCACTGTAATATAACAATATGAAATACACTGGTATTTACAGCAGTTGTCTTTGTATCACTAAAACTTTTATACACGATAGCCCTAACTGATGATAGTAACTTCTATGCAATAAAAAGTAAATAGATTGAAACTCGAGTTTTAAAAATTGTTTAACAATATTGAACTAATATTGGAAGTGACTTCTTTTAGTTTAAATATGTTAAATAAAATATTCTGCATGGAGTTACAAAGTTATGAAACGTAGAACACTGACCGAGTATTTCATAATGACCTGTAGTTCCTCAGAAATAAATAAAGGTTTTGCTAGAATACTAGTAACATGGTTGCAAATACTTTTGTAACAATGTATATTAAACTTATTTTGCAAATCACTATTTGAAAGTCTGTTTCTGTTTAAGACTCAGAGGTCACGAAAACTTAACACTCAAGAATATAATACACAGCGACTTACCTGTTAAATAATCTTTGGGCTTCAAGGGATTAATCCCACCAGTACATAAGACCACGGGACTCTGATCATTACCAAGTTGAGTCACTAGAGGCATGTCAGGTGTGAACTGTGTACATGACTTCCAGTGACGAATTAGGCTAAGTCTAAATTACATTTGTGAGAAAATATATATTGAAATTTAATATTAATTATATTCTATATGAACGAGTTACATCTAGGTTTTATTCAAAATTATACCATGGATGAATTAAGCCACACTTAACGTCCTCTTTTTGTTTTTCACAAATCAATACAATAGGAACCAATTAAACGTTCCAGCAAATAAAAAAAAGTTAATGTCCCTATAAAATTGCACTATTCTGGTCTATCAAACACACACAGTCACACATACAAAAAATGTATACCAATATAGCAAATACACTTTCTAAGCTATATCATTTAACAATTAAGAGTACATCAGGACAGTGTATGTATAACTTAATATATAAAATTATGTTCAATTGGTTTACTTATTTTCAAGAACATACATTTTAGACAAGAACATCTTTCTTTAGGTTAGGTATATACTAATGAAATACAATAAATTATTAATGAAGTATAGCTTTATAAACTGCATCATACAACAAGATGAAAGTTTCCTGTTTTAAATTATCCTGTTTTTTCAATGAACGATAAAATAGATAATATGAATGAATTTTAAGAACTATAAAGTAATAAGTGTGAAGTTAAATATTTCATTTATATTTTGTTAGAGTTTGAAATATGAGACTTGAAACATCGTATAAAACAAAACCAATGTTCTCTTATAAACTGTAATGGAATATATTGTTACGTATCTGCTTATTTGTTAATTTCCGGTATAAATTCTTTCCGAGGAACTTCAGCAATACAAGTCCTTTCTTTTATAATACACGCTATAAATCACAGCAATTCACAATCTCGATAATTTCGCTCTCTGCGAGTGCAAAACACACATTAGCTCGATACAGAATCGTAAATTACCCGAAACACACCGTGTTCGCTTAATCGTACATTCAATCATTCTCCCCGCTGGCTTTTCTCGCCAGGCATATATACTAACAAAGAGGCTTCGCCATTAATTCGAGGAGTTCCCTGATAATTCGAAAAACTCAGCCATGCATGCGCTAGTAGCGTCACGTGACTTCCGCTGTCGTAACAATATGGTAGTAAAAGTTAAGTAAAATCATGAATTTCTTATTATTCAGTGAACAAATAATTAAAGAATAATTGGCATTTATAACTGTTTTACATATCACAAAACAGTTTATTGTTATGTAGATCAGGCATTTAATGATTGTTCATTCCTATTATACTTTGTTTTGTGCGATAACTAAGAATAAATACTAGAGGTGCTGTTATCATTGTAATCAAATGAGACATAGCAAGATCATTTGAACAATATGCACCCAAAAAATGTATGCGTATTTTTAATAACTTAATACCACATAAGTTATACATGACTTTCATCCACGTGATAGTATGACGTCAGCTGTAGTTTAAACCTCAATATTGCAACTCTAAGCATGGACGAGGTTGTATTAAACTAATCTACGATTACAAGTAAAATAATTTATATCCTACCTCATATAGTAAAAAAAATCTAACCAGAAAATTCCTGTTGCTCCTTTGAAACCTACCCCATCTTTTGAAGAACGTAAGTTCTATCCTGCGGACATGGTGTTAGTATTGTTACCCACTATGGGATATCTAATCAAAAAAGAAAAGAAAAAAAGAGA